CTCTTATACACATCTAGATGTGTATAAGAGACAGGGGCTGTACTCAACAAGCGCAGTACAGCCCCCAACTCAGATTTGAAGAAAAATCAGTAGATGGCTGTTTTCTGACTGGTCGGCCCTACTGGTCGGCTCCAAAACGGTCGGCGGTCGGTGGGTATGCAATCCTGTTAAACACGATGAAAAACAGCTCCGTAATTTACAAAAGCAAAGCAGTATTAAGTTCGTTACAAAAAAAAAGAGTAGAAACTTTGGAGACTTCAAGAATAGATGACCATGAGAATGATCGAAGAGGGTTTATAAACAAACTACGTGGTTTATGTGGAGCAAAAACGTCCACAGACATACCCGTAGCTTATCCACGTGGCCCGACGCATTCATTACCAGACGTTGAATCTGCATGCAAAGCACCTGCATCCAATTCCGCAGGTTGAAAACATCTTAGGAGCAAGAGGCATCCATAGCTATTTGCAAGAAGTTAAAAAAAATATGCTCTTATGGACGTAGGCAGCAAGAGTCTAAACACACACACACACACACACACACTCTCTTCTGTATGTACTATGTATGTACTATGTATGTACTATGTACGTATTTCCACTTCATTTTTTTTCTAACTTTCGGTATGTCTGCACGAGCAACCCCCCAGCAAAAATGTTCAACTCGCCGCGCCCCCGGCCCGAAAACGTTTTTTCAGCGCAAGGACTGCCAAATTTTGAATTCCGCAGGCCCCTCCCCCTACAAATTTGAAATGGCAGATCATGAAAATAGGGCTCAATCCAGTTTTTTTTTTTTTTGAGGGAAGGGTGTGGAAACTGGCCTTCCCCCTCCTTTCGGCAAATCCCACACAGTGGTGGGGAAAACATTGTGAGAAGGGTGTAATTGCCCAATAGAGACCTGCCCCACAGTGTTTCGCAGAAGTCACGAGATATGTTTGGTAAGGCCAGCCGACCACCAATATATGCTGAAGATTGGCATTCCGGTCTGCAAGTCGGCAGTTATGGGTTAGGATGAAGGTGCCTGTAGCTCTCTCTGTTTTTTTTCTTTTTGTTTTCTTATGAATACGTACAGCGTCCCAAGGGGCCGCGCTCCACCACTCACCACATGCAGAAAAGACATACCATATGGCGGTGTATGGTTCCATGTTTTAGCAGACGATTCATTATACTAATGTTATTATTGTTATATACATTTGGTGAGTAGCGGAGGGAGGCCCTGAGAATCATGTGGAGACACGAACAGGGTCGAGCTGAATTGGTGACCCTGCCGAGCTACAGACCTGTACTCGAACCCACAGCCTATATATATTGGTGGTCTGCTCCCGCCTCTTCCACATATGACACGGCCCATCCTGCTCGTTGAAGCATTGGCCCTCAATACGACTCCACAATGTCCACATACATTGTAGGAGCCATTTGAGTTACCTGCAGGGGCCCTTGAATTGACATAAAGGGGGCCCTTTGGTCTCTCTCTCTCTCTCTCTCTCTCTCTCTCTCTCTCTCTCTCTCTCTCTCTCTCTCTCT